CCAATTAAAATAACTGTAGACAATATAAAATACTTGAGAGTCTACCTGCCAAGACAAACCCAGGAACTATACGAACACAACTACAAAACACTTTTCACACAAATAAAGTCAGATCTAAACTATTAGAAAAAATATTAATTGCTTATGGAGAGGCCGGGCTGATATATTAAAAGCGACAATTTTTACCTAATCTATTTATTCAGTGCCATACCAATCAAACTATCAAAATTTCTTTATAGAGCTAGAAAAAAATAATAACAAAATTCATCTGGAAGAACAAAAGCTCAAGGATATCAAGGGAATCAATGAAAAAAATGCGAAAGAAGGTGTTCTAGCAGAATCAGATCTTATAAAGTGGCATTATAAAGTGGTAAATATCAAAACAATCTGGTACTGGCTAAGAAATAGAGTAGTGGATCAGTGGAATAGATTAGGTACAAATTATATTATAGTAAATGACGATAGTAATCTAGTATATGTTAAATCCAAAGATCCAAACTTTTGGAACAAAAACTCATTATTTGACAAAAACTGCTGGGAAAGTTGGAAAACAAGACTGCAGAAACTAGATATAGACCAACATATCACACCATATATCAAGATAAGGTCAAAATGGGTACATGATTTATACATAAATAGTGATACCATAAGTAAATTAAGAGAACATGGAATAGTTTATCTGTCAGATATATGGATAAAGGAAGAATTTAGGGCCAAAGAAGATATAGAGAGAATTATAAAGTATAAAATAGATAATTTTGATTATATAAAATGAAAAAGTTTTTGCACAAACAAAATCAATGCAATCAAAATTAAAAGAAAAGCAGAAAACTGGGGGAAATTTTTTTTTTGCAACAAGTATCTCTGATAAAGGCCTCACTTCTCAAATATCCAGAGAACTGAGTCAAATTTATTTTTACTATTTTTTTTTTTTGCAAAGCAATCAGGGTTAATGACTTGTCCAGGGTCACACAGTTAGTAAGTGTCAAGTGTCTGAGGCCAGATTTGAACTCAGGTCCTCCTGGCTCCAGGGCCAGTGCTCTATCCACTGCGTCACTTAGCTGCCCCCAAATTTATAAAAATACGAGCCATTCCCCAATTGATAAATGTTCAAAGGATATGAACAGGCAGTTTTCAGACAAAGAAATCAAAGCTATCTATAGTCATATGCAAAAAGCTCTAAATCACCACTGATCAGAGAAATGAAAATTAAAACAACTCTGAGGTATCAATTCACACCTATGAGAGTGGCTAATGTAACAAAAAAATGAAAATGTTGGATGCTGGAGGGGATGTGGGAAAATTATGTCCCTAATGCATTGTTGGTGGAGTTGTGAACTGATACAACCATTCTGGAAAGTAATTTGGAATTATGCACAAAGGGCTATAAAACTGTGTATATACCCTTTGAATCAGCACTATCACTGCTAGGTCATTATTCCAAAGACATCCAAGAGAAGAGAAAAGGACCTATTTGTACAAAAATATTTATAGCAGCTCTTTTTGTGGTGGCTAAGAATTGGAAATCAAAGGGATGCCCATCAATTGGGGAATGGCTAAACAAGCTGTGTTGTATGACTGTGATGGAATATTATTGTGCTATAAGAAATAACAGGCAGGATGATTTCAGAAAAACCTGGAAAGACTTACATGAACTGATGCATAGTGAAGTGAACAGAACCAGGACAACATTGTACACAGTAATAACAATATTGTTCAATGAAGAATTATGAATGAGTTCGCTATTCTCAGCAATACAAAGATACCAAGACAATCCCAAAGAACTAATCATGAAGCACACTGTCCACCTCCAGAGAAAGAGCTGATATTGATTGAATACAGACTGAAGCATGCTGTTTTTCACTTTTTTTTCTTTTATATGAGTCTTCTTGTACAAATGATTAATATGGAAATGTTTTATATAATAGCACATGTATAACCTATATCTGATTGCTTACTGTCTGGTGGGTGGAGGAGGGGAAGGAGGACTCAAAACTTTAAATAAAAATGGTAAAAAAGAAAAAGAATAGAAGGAGCTCTTGGGGCTGAGTATCGCCACTGCTGTTGCCACTAGCATTACCAGAAGTGAGATGTAGGACCTCCCAGAGCTACTGAAGCAAAGATTGTCGCTGTCTTCATTTGCTGGGAATTATATCAATGCGAAATTTTGTCTCCCTTCTACTTCCTGGAGAGAGTGGAGATCCATTCTAAAGCTTATCTTTGGTTCTTTAAAGTTTATATGTAACCTGTCAGCCTCTTCCTGGATTCTCTTTCTGCCATCAGAGACCTCTTCCTGAAGAGAATCTGAAAACTCAAATACCCTCTATTGAAACTGAAAGCCAAAAGAATTAGGATCTCTCCTTTCCTAAGATCTCACCAGCGCTGCCCCTCACACAGGTACAGAGCATCAAGTAATCATTCTCCATCAATGAGGAGAGTCTTAAGCAAATAGATTTGAGCCCCAGGTAATATTCATTTTACATTACCGTTCTTCCAGTGTCTGAAAGCTGGTATTAAGATAAAGCTGAGGTTAACCAAGTGCATTATTGGTCTGTGTATATTTCTTTTGTACAAAGGCAGTTGAAAGGGAGGTTAAGGGGGGCTACACAGAAAGAGAAGGAATTCCTTAATCTTTGGGATGACCCCAGCTGGCTCTTCAAAATGAACCCAAAAGATTTTTATTAATAGATATTATTATTACTCTCCCCAAAGCAGGGAAACGATTAAGCTACATGAATCAGGACCATCCCGGATTTCCCTGGGCACAAATGAGTTAGCATTGTTAGGAGGCATGGTAAGGAACAGTTTTCTCCCCTAACTCCTGAGAGGCAGTGGCTTCAGGCAACCAACTTTCCCTTCCTATTATTTCATTCACCCACTCTAAGTCCTAGGAAACCCCTTCACTTCCTTGGGTGGAGCTGAAATTAGAGCCAAGAGAGGAAAGAAGAAAAGTTCTGCCCACAAGAGGGTAAGGGTTGAGTAGAGGGAATGGAGTGTTAGCTAAATGCCTCCAATCCCCATCCACAGTCTATGTATCTCATTTCCCTTATACTGTATCATTTAAAGGTGTCAGAACTATAGATTTTAAAGTGGAAAAGCAAAGAGATTGAGTTTCCCTCCAGTTAGTGTTTTGCTTTGGCTGAGACATATTATGAGTAAAGAAGTGAGCAACCACCAATATTTATTACTTCAATGATTCAATGACCTGCAATTTCATCTGCGTGGGAATTCTCTCTACTACACAGAACCCCCTTTTCTAATTAGTAGAAAGTCTCAAAGGGTTGCTATGGCTGAAGAATTCATTACCCTACCGACAATCTGGTGATGAGTCTCTCTGAATTTAGTTAGGCTAGTCTTTGGGGGCGGACCTGCTAATAGTAGCTAACAATATAGCACTCTCAGGCTATCAAAGCACTTTATCTTATTTGATCTTCACTACAATCCTGAGAGGTGGGTGCTGTTATCATTACCATTTTAAGGATGAGAAAATTAAGGCTGAGAGAGGTTAAGTAAATTGTCCAAGGTCATAACAGTCAGAAGTATGTGTTGACTGAAAGTCCAATGGTCTATCCACTACACCAATTTTTAAAGCTTCTACTCTCCTTGTAGAGCCTTCAACGACCTTGGGTCACCTCCATGCCATCCCTAAGGCACTGATGAACTTTTAGGAGTGACCTCCAAGTAAATCTGAAGGCAGAAGGGGAAAGGAAGGTGCATCTTTAACTTTAAAAGATATTACTCTATGATGTCAGGTTTACACAACATCTACCATACATTTTTATCTTTTATCCTCACACACAATAATAACACTGTGCTGGAGGTGCTATACTTATTAATATGTCAGAGATATTAATATCCCTTATTAATATTTTGGCAGATAAGGAAACTGAGGTTGAATGAAGGTAACTGACATGCAAGTGTCTGACAGCCAATTATAATGCTGGAGGAGTGTCAGAAATCACCTGAGTTCTTAACTTTGAATCCACAGATCTCAGATAGATTTCAGAAGTTCCATGACCTTGAAGGGGGAAAATACTTCCTTATTTCCACTAACCTCTAATTGAAATTTAGCATCTCCTTCAATTATGGATGAAGCAACACAACATTATTCTGAGAAAACATTCATAACTTCAAGGCCCACTACACTAAATAGGTTAAGAGACCACGAATTAATTCTAGTCCAACTGCCTGATTTTACAGATTAGGAAACTGAGATGAAACTTCTTGCTTAAAATTAAAAATGCTATCTAATAAATAGATCTGGGTTTCGAACCCATATCCTCTGGCTTATGGTCCAAAATTCTTTCTACTGACCTCACTATCTCCCATTTGAACCTGGTACTGTTTCCACCATATGGCCTGCTGTTCAGCAGAAACGTTTAAATTTTGATATATAGTTTTAACCTCTATAAACTTTCTGTCTAATCTTGCAGTAAAGTTCCCACAATAATCCTCAGGTGTCCAAACTCCAACTCTTGATAATAACCTACTGGGAGGGATAGACCGACTTTATATTAAGTAGCTTGGTGACACACCTCCTCTCTTCCATTTCGCAACATCAACCTTAATTTCGTTCTTCCTCAGTCACAAAACAATTATTCTGTCTGAAAAGGAAAGAACGGCAAAAAAAAAAAAAAAAGGCAGTAATTGCCCTACAGGTGCTTACTCCAGGACTCCTAATGGCACCTGAATACCCAAACTGACTCTCTACATAGAGTCAAATGCCACCACCTCCTGCTAGCCCTTCAGATGTAGTTGTCGGAGACTTTTGTGCTCCTTTAGTCATGGCTTACTCTGACCATCTGCAACAGATTGGCTTGATTGCCTGCGTGAAGTTTTTGTAACAACTACAAAAAGAACCTGGTGACTTGAGAGACCCAGGTTCCTTAAAACCGCGCTCCATTAACTTCTCCTAGGAACTACATTACCCACTTGCCCCTGCGCTCTTTGCAGGAAGGACGTCTGCGCAGTAAGACACTCAGTTCCAAGTTTGGAGCTTTTAGCTGCCAGCCCTGGCCCATCATGTAGCTGCAGCACAGCCTTCCCTACCATTGCAATTGGAAAAAAATCACTTTCCAATCTGTTTTGCAAGGTGTGCATTTCCACTTTTATTTTCTGAAAGATCATCTGCTGCATCGATCAAGAAAAACTTCACTTGCATGAAGACTGCGCGTCTGCAGCTTGAATCTTTATTGCAAAACTAGCTACAGAAGAGAGGCAAGGCAAAGTCTTTTGTGCTCCCCTCCCCCATCAAAGGAAAGGGGAAAATGTCTCAGCCAAAAGGTAAGAGCCTATTTGCATTGCTTGCAAAAAATGCAAAAGGTCGTGCATGCATTTGCAAATGCATGGATGCATTTTTTGCCAGGCAATTGCATTTTAAAGTTTGAGGCTTTCCGAAGCTCAGTTGTATTTCCTGTTTAGTATGTTTTTTTTTTTTTTTTTTTTTTTTTTTTTTTTTTGCAGACACAGAGAGTTCCTGTAAGGCAGGGCTTGCAGTTCAGCTGTGCGTTGATGTTATTTGCATTCTTCTGCTAGGATTACTGAGCTCTTTTTGCCTTTTGCATAGTCAGGACAGATAAAGCAGGTTGGAAGTGTCTAAATATGCAGTGCTTTCTCTATTTGGAAAATTCTGTAGAATGCATTCACATTGTGAATCGATTCAAGTACTAGAGTATTGTAAACTTTTAAAGAGTCTGTTTCTCAAATCAAAGGCACAAGGAGTTAAATTGCTGGGAATTGAGTATATACCTATGTTTCCATGGGAAATAATTTTTCTGGCATCAATCCTTAGCTAATTTTCCATTGATTTCCTGCTGAATGTTAGGCAACTTTTGATTTTTAAAGGTGGGATTTGGATAACATCAGGTTACTAAAAGCTTGCAAGAAATCCTGATCTTTTAAGATTTTGCACTTTACCATAGGACTTTTTTGGTCGAATAGAGTCTTCAGAAGTTGAGCACTGAATAGATAAAGCTTGAGAAGTGTGACCATTTGGGAGGTAACTTTTTATCTCAGCGTAGAAAGTAGAGGGGGGAAAAGCTGTACTTTCAGGATGTTGCAAGAGTGGGGAGCTATACTATTTCTTTAATAACCAAAATGAGATCTTTTAAGCACATGAAAATGGAATACACATATTTAGCCTTTAGATATGTTATTAGATGCAGAAGTTCAAGGTTTGTGCATTTAATAGTTCAGGTTTTTTATTTCATACAGCTGTTGCACTTGTATTTTTCAGCCTTTAAATGGCATCTGGGGGGTATTAGAACAAAATATCTGGCAGAGCATCAGAAGACCAAGGAAGTACTTATAAGTTGCCCTCAGGATTTTGAGTCTTTTTTCAAAGTAAATATTACTGAACCACACAGAGAGCACATGCTTTATGACAAGGTAAGGAATAAGGAAGTGATAACTTAGGCATCCTGGCACCCATACTACCAGTGACTTATGGATACTGAATAAGTATTATTTGATTATAGCAAAAATCAAGGATTTGATCATCTCTTTCCATAAGCTTAATGTGGCAAAAGATTACAAAGTTGTTACAGAACAATTACAGTCTTAACTTTAAGCATCTGAAGACATGATTATAGAAGTGATAGTTGCAAGACTTTGAAGACTCTTGGTAAGGACTAGGAGAGAAAAAAACAAACCACCTGAAAAAATGTTCCATCTAGGACTTAAGTAGTTGCAGGGTTAGATTTATTTTTAGGGGCTTCAGTGGAAAGAACATTGGTTTTGAATTCAGAGGATATGAGTTTGAATTCCAGTTCTACCGCTTGTGTGAATTTAGGAAATTAGTTAACCTCTGAGATCTTTTCTAGTTCTAAATCTATGATGCTGTGAACGACGACCAGGGGGGTAAAAATCATAGGGAATTAGACTTTGCCTAAACCAACAGGACACTTCCTAAGAATCTGAGCCATCTGAAAATGGAATAGGTTGCATTGTGAGTTAGGTGGTAAGTTTCTGATCTCTATGAATGTTCAAGTATAGAAGAGATGTCCACTTTCTGGAGTGGAATTTGAGCCCGTATCATCTGGCTCCAAATGTAAAATACTCATCTCATCTCATCATAATGGAGAAGGGAATTTTGGACCAAATAACCTCTAAGATTGCTTTTCTTAAAAGAAAATGTTTGTTTATGAACTGGAAACTCATCTATATATATTTTGGAGAGGCAATCCGGATTAAGTGACTTGCACTTGCTGTGTGCACACAGCTAGTGAGCATCGTGTGTCTGAGGTTGGATTTGAACTTAGGTCCTCCTGACTCCAGGGTCAGTGCTCTATCCACTGCACCACCTAGCTGCCCCTCATCAACCCATATTAACATTTCCCTATACAAAGAAAGCCAGAAAATGGGAATTGTATATGAAATTAGAAGTGAAACCATTATGTATAGCTTATTTAAAAAAAAAAAATTATCTTAAACTCAATGTGGTAGTACCAAACATTGCTCTGCTTGTCTGTGTCCCCATCCAGATTTTCTTCAGCTTTCTTTAGTACATTCTTTAAGTGTTGTAATGATGCCCTACCTTCTGACAAAAGAGTAGTCAAGCACAGTCATTTTTTGTTGTAATAGTGATATCTGAAAATAAATGTCTCATTCTCCATTTATACTATATCACTTCTCTGCCAAGAAGTGAGGGTCATGCCTCATCATCAATCTTTGGCATTATAATTGGTCATTGTATCAATTACCATTCTTAAGTCTTTCAAAATTCTTTTCTTTTATAAATAACGTTGAAGGTGTTGTATAAATTGTCCTCCCAGTTACACTCATTTCATTATGTGCAAGTTCATAAAATCTTCCAAAGTTTCTCTGAATCTGAGACTTTTATCATACTATTATATTTACTATACTTTGTTCAGCTGTTCCCCAGGTGATTGACACTTTGTTTACAATGTTTTGCTGCAACAAAAAGTGCTGCTATAAATAATTTTGTACATATGAGTCTTTTCTTTCTTTTATTTCTTTGGAGTATATGCTTAATAGTGGTATTGTAGGTCAAAGAGTATGCATTGTTTAGTGACTTTGGAGCTATAAGTCCAAATTGCTTTAGAAAAGTTCTGAACTTAGGGTCCACAGACCCTTGAGAGGTTCATGGATAGAGTTCAGAGATTCCATGAGTTTTGATGGAGGAAAAAAAAATGCATCTTTGTTTTCACTAACCTCTAACTAAAACATAGCATTTCTTTCATTATGAATGTAGACAACAAATCAAAGTAGTGTTAGGTTTCACCAGACTGTCAAAGGGGCCTACAGCACAAAAAAAAAGGTTAACATTGCCTACTTTAGAAAATGACTGGATCACTTCATAGCTCTGCCGACACTATATTGTTGTAATAATATAAGTGTGCCTGTTACTTTTGTCAATCTGATGGTGGTGAATTAGTATCTCAGAATCATTTTAATTTGCACTTCTCTTGTTAATGATTTTGAGCATTTAAAAAATTTGGTTCTTGATATCTTGAATTACTTCCATTGAGAATAGCCTGTTCATATCCTGTGACCATTTACTTCTTTGGGAAATGGTTTGTTCTTTTTTTTTTTTTTTGGTTGGCAATGGGGTTAAGTGACTTGCCCAGAGTCACACAGCTAGTAAGTGTGATGTGTCTGAGGCCGGATTTGAACTCAGGTCCTGCTGAATCCAGGGCCGGTGCTCTATCCATTGTGCCACCTAGCTGCCCCTGAATGGTTTGTTCTTTTATATTTATATCTGTTTCCAATTTTCTGGATATTGAACATTTATCAGAGAAATTTCTGCAAAGATTTTCCCTCCAGTTCACAGATTCCTTCTAATTGTAATTGCATGGATAGTGTTTGTATTAAACATTTTCAGTTTTATAGAATCACAATTGTCTTTTTCCTTTCTCTTGCTTCTTTGGATAAGAATTTTTCCCCTGTCCATAGCTGTGAAAAGTTTCTTTCCTCTAATTTGTTTATAATGTGACTTAGATATAAAAGGTCATATGACCACTTGGAATTTATTGTAGTATATGGTGTAAGATGTTGTTCTGTACTTAACTTCTCCTACACTGCTGTCCAATTTTCCCATTAGTTTTTGTCGAATAATACGTTCCTACCTCAGTAGTTTGTGTTCTTGGGTTCCCCGCACACTCTGATACTGTTTTAAATTGCTCCTTTATTTTATGTCTAATTTGTTCAATTTATCAGATTTAAAAAAAAATTTAATCAGTTCCAAATAGTCTTGATGGTTACTGATACGTATAGTTTGAGATTTGGTACTACGAAACCCCCTTTCTTCTCATTTTTTTTCCCATTATTTCCCTTGAAGTACTTGATCTTTTGTTCCCCCAGATGGATTTTGTTATAATTTTGTGTAGTTCTACAAAGTATACCTTTGGTAGTGTGGGATGGCATATCATTGATAAATTATTTTAGGCAGCATTGTGAGTTTTATTATATTAGTACATTCCAACCATGAACAACTAATTCCTCTCCAATTATTTATTTTCCTTTATTTCTATAAAGAGTATTTTGCAGTTGTGTCCATATTATTCCTCTATGTGTCTTGGATAAGCAGCATGGGCTAGTGAATATGTCACTGGACACTGAATCAGGAGGATCTAGGTTCAAATTCCACATCGGACACTTACTAATGGTGTGATTCTCAGGCAAGCTACTTAACCTCTCACACAATCAATTTTCTCATTTGTAAAATGTGGAGATTGGATTTGATAACCTCCAAGGTTCTTTTCAATTCTCAATGTGATAGACTCTCAGATGTTTTATATATTGTGTAGTAATTTTTAATGGGATTACTTTTTCAGTCTTTCCTACAACTTTTTGGCAGCTAGGTGGCATAGTGGATAAGTGCACATAGAGACAATAAGACTTGAATTCAAATCTAGCCTTAGACCCTTACTAGTTGTGCAACTCTGAGTAAGTCACTTAACCTGTCTGCCTCAGGTTCTTCATATATAAAAACAGGAATAATAATAGCACAGACTTCTCAGGGCTTTTGTGAGGATAAAATGAGAAAACTTTGTAAAGTACTTTGCAAAGCTTAAAACACTGTAAAAAAGCATTATTATTATTATTATTATTATTAAGGGGTGTTTTTGGTCTTGTTGCTTTACTGAAATTATTATTTCTAGTGAAATGTGATACTTTTGTTTCTTATTTGCCTATGGTTGTTCCCTTAATTTCCTTTTTCTTGTCTTACTATTACAACTAACGTTCTATTTTTTTTGATTAATTAATTAATTTTTAGTTTTCAACATTCATTTCCACAAGATTTTGAATTCCAATTTTTCTCC